AAGTACTTTTAATTTTACTTTATGTGGTCTTAACTTGATCAAAGGTCAAACACGATCATGTATGTTATACATGCACTCAATGGTGGATCTTCATAATAGTTAAGGGGAGTCTTTTTCATACTCTCTCATTAACGGTAATATTTTATTAGTATTTAATTGCTTCTTTAATTTCTAAGGATAAATTAAATAAGAAAGATTAAAAGTAGTTATCTATCTTCTCTCACCTTTTTATATTCTCTCACCAACGGTAATATTGATTGATTAATATTAAATTGTTTCTATAGTTTATACTTTCAAATTCATTGTTCGTCTCTCTTCCTCCCTCCTCATATTCCATCCTTGAAATTATATTAATTGACAAATGTATTTTATCTTTATCTTTTCATACGACTTATTCTATTATTGTTTGTTATTTTGATTTTTGTTGAGGAACATTTGTTGTTTGAGAAAAATATTTTTTTTATAAATTTTTATGATTTTATAATTAGAAAATTAATAATAATATATTCATTTTTTCTAGATATGAAGCATAAAAGAATATATTCATGTTTTAAAAGTGATAAAAGATATATTTGTAGAGATGAAAACCGAATAAATTCAACATCTTCTCCTGATATTATTTTGTAAGCAACATGACATTGATATTCCTAATTTTAATTCTACCTATGTAGCACGTCATGGGTGTTCTCGACATAAAAAAAATTGTATTACAGTAGAACATCATTTCAGGGTGAACATATTTTTTATTACAGTGGATAAACAATTACAAGAATTAAATGATAGGTTTAGTGAGAAAATAATGAAACTTTTAACTTTAAGCAATGCTTTAATTCCAAATGATGTTTATAAAAATTTTAACATTGATCATATATGCACACTTGTAAACAAATTTTATCTTTTGGATTTTAGTGAACAAGAGAAGATTAATTTAAAAATTCAACTTCATCATCTTATATGTGATGCTCCTAACCATCCTAATTTTAAGAATTTTTCTATCATGCTTAAATTATGTCAATTATTGACAAAACAGGGAAGTCGGGTACATTTTACTTAATAGTTCATTTAATTCGTCTTATTTTAACTTTTCTTGTTTCTACAACTATAACTGAGAGATCGTTTTACGCAATAAAGTTATCAAAACAAGACTGAGAAATAGGATGGAAGATGAAATTCTTGCGAGATAATATGATCATTTATATTGAAAAAGAAATAATTGAAAACTTTAGTTCTAATTTCATTATTGATGAGTTCAAACATTTAAATAACGAAGGACACAATTTTAAATAAATATCTTATTATTTATTTATTATTATATAATTATTTTTATAATTAGCCCTCCAGACTAATTGGTTGCATATATTATATTAATTATAGTGACAATCAACGTAATAAATCACTTACTATTCTCAAATTTCACTATAATCTACATAATAAATAACTTATTATATCAATTTCTATTATAACCGACATAGTTCTTATTACAATAATTCTTATTACAATAAGTGCTTTATAATCGTCATGATAAATCATCATTGCATTTGTTTTTTTCATTAGTGTTAAAAAAAAACACTTTACCTTATATATAATTGGACGAAGAACCATTTTGATTTTGTTAAAAAGAACCTTGAAAAGAATTTATATATGCACTTCACAGGATTTGAGCTTAAAATCTGCTGGACCTTGAGGATTGTCCACCTTTTGATATTAGCGAGATGAATATCCGAGTTTCATTTTATTTCATGAATGCATGTATTTTATCTCTCTCTCAATAGATAATATCCTTAACAATATTAAAAATAAATTTCTAATAAGTAGAATAAAAACCTAAAAAAATATGAACGCAGATAAATAATCTTATTGTTTGTTAGAATTAATTCTATTAAGTAATGACAATTTTTTTATTTCAAAATCAAACCACGTAAAAAGAGTCGTAGTTACAATAATCCAATCTTTCTCTTAGTAAGTTTCACCTTACTACTTATATTAATTGAGTTTACAACCACTCAAACACAAAGCAAATCTTCGAGCCTCTTCCCATTTTTTTCTTTGTCAATAATATTTTATTTTTATATTGGGATATTAGTAGTGAAATAAATCAATAAAAAATAAGGTGAAACATAGACATGTCTACGGGCCGGGTTTTGCTTCCTGGATCCCGTCCCCGACTCCGACTCCGACTCCAACTTCATCCCCACTAGAATTAGAAATTAAGTTCATGAATTAGAAATTAAGTTCATATCTCAAATTTCGAGTTTTCTCGTCTTATTTTCGATCTATATTATTTTTTAAAAAATAATTATATTTATAATAAATTAATTTTACTATGTATTTTTTATATATAAATAGATATTTATAATTTTACAATTTGTAATTATTATTAATTAAATATATATTTTAATTTATTATATTTATATTAAAATTTGTATGTAAAAAAATATTTAATTATTTTTTATTTATATATATATAAAAGGAAACTCATAGTCGTACCTGTTAGTTGAATCAAAATAAGCTACTCTCTTAAATCAAATAATTGTGTGATGATAAACATTTAATTATGTTTAGTTTGGCCAGATTGCTTGTTACATGGGACTCTAATATCAAGCATAAACTATTGAATTGAACCATAACTTGAGAATGAAAAAAATAAATGCTCAAGGGAGTTAGACGAACATAGGATATTACACTTTATACAAGGATTTTCGTTCATAACTTTTCCTTTAGTGAAAATTATTTCTTATTTGACCTTTATTTTTACTATAGGTGTGTAAAACAAAGTGAAAAATAAAAACAATTATACCTAATGTTCCATACTGTGTTTCTCTTTTGAAAATATCAGAACCTTCAAACAATATCCTTTAAGATCCTCTGATTGTTGGCACTGTATCCTCAACCAAGAAATGTCAAGCATGGATCATCCATTTTCTAGGAACCTCAACACCCCTTTTGTCGCTTTTACCTTCACTGCATGTGGGGATGGTTCAACACTCCTTTCTCTTGGTCTTTTGATCCCACTGATGCATGAGCTGGCCAATGTACCATTTGCTTCTTGTTTAACATTTTTCATGAACTAAATTCAATTCAATTCTAATAATGCACAGACACCTACTGACATAAACCAATAATCAAATAGAACCCTGTGTTGGGCTCCGGGTACCGAGGTATGCAAAACACCTGTTACTTAACGATCATCGATATTAGGTTTTGCTGATCAATTAAAATTAAGGGTGAATTAATGGTATTGGTGAAGCTTCTAATTCAAAAAGTTTTCTATGTCTCTGGCTTTTTGTGACAAATAAATACAAGCTACATATTCCAGAATGTCAAGGGCCACCTTGGTTCCAATGTTGTCATGTGCATGAAGATATATAGATATTGTTATGGTGTGTATTTGCAGACATGCATATATTCCTGAATCATGAAAGGGACAACAAAATCTCCTATAAGTGAATCAGCAGAGCCCTATTATAGCTTGCAATCAGCAGACAATAGGTAGACAAGCTATTGTCTTTGAGGATTGAAACATTTTACTGATTAGTAATTATTTTGATTGTGATTCTCTTGTGTTCCATGGTCTTGGTCTACTTTGAATTTTGGCTTATTCTGCCTCCTAATAATATATCCTAACCTTCAATTGAAATCCATCTTTCAGAAAAAATTAATATGATTTTATGTTTTAATCTAAGCTTCTTAGTAGTAGATAAGTGTTGTCTTTGGTGGTTTTTGCTTGACAAAATTATTTTGCTAGATGATACAATACAAGGCAATGCAGCTACATAGATTTTCTCTTTGCTAAGTATAATTTACTGAGTGGATAATTAAATTTAACAGGAGAATAATATTAAAGGAAGATCTGTTTTTTTTTCAGAAACAGCATGAATGTGAATTAGAAGATTGTTTACCTGAACCACTGCTTCTTTGTCTTTCTAATTTTACTAGCAATTCAAGTCTATTTCTGCTGCAAACATGACATATTAATGACAACGATCCAAACATGGATACCCATGTTCATGATTATGCCTACCATTTAATTTACATTCCTCTAAAATAGGGTATGTACCATAGTTTAACTTTTAATATATTTTTTCAAATTTGTAATCTAGAAAAGCAATTTGTGGCTTCTGGTCTATTCCAATACAATCAGGTAAAAGCACAAAAGAGATACAGACTATGCCATGAGCTCTTTGGTCATACGGCCAAAAGCAGCACAATATAGATATACAGCTAAAGCAGATTGATGAAGATGAAACCAAGAAACCAAAAGCATAAAAAGAGTCTATTTAACATACTATGAATAGACACACGACAATATCCCAGTCTTGGAACCAAAGATATTTGAAGATGCACAACTTACGCCCAAGCGAAACTAACCAAAAGTACTTAAGAGTTGGATCACACGGTCTTTTGAGTGGTTCTTCACTTTGAAAGAAGAATTGCTATTTTTTAAAGCAGATCTAATCTATTGAAGTAGTAAAAAAAAACATAACAAAGAATCTTTTTGGTGTCTGCATGAAATGAATTCCCCATTCTGTTGTAGGATGTGGTTATATCAACTTTCACGTGATATGGAAAAAAAACAAAAGGGTTTAAAAATCAGGCCCTTGCATTGCAAATTAAGCAACTTCCACTCATCTTCCCTGGCTTGAACAATTTTGTAGAAACTAGAGACTCTGATTTTTATAATCATGGAATACAATTGTATCACAACTCTGCATATAAACATCAGTGACATCTTGTTCCCTTGGTTGTTTCTTAGTTGTATTTCTCTTATTCTAATGCCTCCCACATGTACTTTATTTCACCTCTCTTTCAGACAACTCCACAGAAAATAAATATAAAAGAATTGAAAATAAATTATTTGTCAGAATCCAACAGTAGGAAATTTCAGCCAAACCACACGATTGTAGGATCTCCTTATATATAATACACAAGCTATATAACCAGCCCCAGAACCATCTTCCTCTCCATAGCCTCAAGCGAAACATCTTGAGAAATCTAAAACAATGGCCAAGTTTCTTTTCTTGTGCTTTCTTTTAGCAAATACCCTTTTGAGTCTAACCAATGCTACAAACCAACCTCAAATTATTTTCCAGTCTAGTTCAACACCATCTGCAAACCCTCCTGCTCAGAGTCCTAGTGGCCAAAGACCACATACATCAGAACCCTCTATTGGAAGGAAACTTGGTAAGCACCAAAATAACCAAAACAAGTCTTCTGACGCCAAAAGTCCTACCCCATCTGAAGCACCAAAAAGTCAAAACAAGGTACATTCTAGCTCTGAAATGAGCATTCCTAGTCATCAAAGAACTTCTATTGAACCTCAAGATGGAGCAGATTTGGGTTCTCATCACGTTGAGGTCCATTTGTCAAAGCAGCAGCACCACTCATTTGACAAGTCCATAGCAGGTGCAGGAGTCATTCTTGGAGGACTTGGCACCACATTCTTGGTGTCAGTTTTCTGCTATATAAGAGCCACAGGAAGGAACAAGCTAGAAACAACAGCTTAGAGTCCATGAAACTTTGTTTTCTTCTTTTAATCTGCCTCACTTCTTTGTGTCTATACATGCTAAGTGTAAATGAAACTAGTGAATAGATTATGATTTGTTTGCAGGTTAAATTTTGTTCGAATGAAAATAAGCAAAAGCAACCTTTTCTAACAATAATTCCTTGCAGTAGGAAAAAATTCAAGTAATTTGAGAGATTCTGTCTCTCTGTGCTGTTCAAATGATATTACCAGTCATTTTGATCGCAATTCATTTTCAATAAATACTTGTAGAAGAATAAAGTAAAATGAATTCAGGTAAAACAATCAAACTGAACCTATAAATAAACGTTAAATCCATTTGCAATTAAATAAAATTATAGGGACTAAATAATGTAAAATTCTTGTAGTGCTCTAAATGGTTTAATTTTAAAAGTTATAAGACTAAACTTGCAATTAAAATTCATAGGGACTAAAATTCCACATTCATAAACTTTTAGAGACTATAAATGAATTTAAACCTTACAATTAACTTATATAACTAAATATTTTCATAATTTTTTTCATTTAAGTTTTAATAAATTAAGATAAATGCGTTAATTTTATTAAGTTTAGTAATTATATATTTACTGTATAAAATAATTTTATATGGTTAAACAATAAATAAAAATAACACGCACTTATAGTTAATGTAAAAATCAACCAGATAAAAATGTAAAACTTATTTATAATATTATTAAATAACGTATAAAAAATATACTTTATTCATGCTCCTCGACTATGATATGATGAAATTCAAATAAGATATGGACTCTCTATATTATTTGATACTAGTGTAAATAATGTTACATCTTCTTAAAATATCTCCATTAAAATTCTTAATAATAATTGTTTGAGAATAAAAATAAATATTTTATTGTGAATTTTACTATAAATTAATCATTATTTATAAATAATGGTTTACATTTTAAACAATTCATATCTATAATAAAATAATTATTTTTATTTTTAAATAATTCTTGTTACCAACTCCATTTAAAAAGTATCTTACCATCTACTTTGAGAATATAAAGAGTTTAATTGGGAGGAGTTTGATTAAACTTAGAGTTAAATATTTCCAAAGATTAAAATCGATCTTAACCTATTTAATTCGTTCATGGAAAACAAAAATGATAAACTAATAGGTTGATTGAAAGAACATAAAAATATACATTTAAATCTACACCTAACAACATCCTACTCTTCACAAAATCTTTACGGGTATAAAATGAATGACTTTCTAATAATAGTGATTTAAAATTTAATGAAAAACAAACAACAAATTATATTATACTAAAAACACGTGCGTTTACAGTAATAGTTATTATATCAAAAACATATTTTAGCACAAGATAAGTTCACAATAATTATATCTAAATCATTTAAATAAAAACAATTTTAATAAAATAAGAAATAAATACATAAATAAAACACAACTATATTCTTCAAATAAATAAATAAAATATTTAAAATTTAAATTTATTGTCATGGTTAGAATTATTTTTATTTTGAAATTTTAATTTGGATAATTCACAAACTGGTTTAAACTTGTTTAAAAATCTGTTAAATCTCCATACCTTTTGTGTAAAAGTAGATAGGTATGATGAGAAGGCCTTTAAAAATGGCCAATGATATAAATTTATTAAAAATAATACTCGTAGATATAGAACGTTTCGAATAGGAGGATTAAATTTTCTTCTGTTATAATAAATAATTAAAATTGAAAATATTTCAATATCTATAAAAATGTTATTGTCATACTTATTCTAATAATTGTTATTAATTTTTTTCTATTAATGAAAAATGGTAAAATAACCATAACAATCAATATAATAATGATTTGAGTGTACGATAACAATAATGAACATAATTAAATACATGACTAATTTTTTTAAATAAAATATTTTTCCTCGGGAATAAATTTTTATCTATGAAATTAGAATCCTTGAAAATATTGATATCCCACGACTCTTTCCTGGTGCTTTTCTTTATAAATCTATCCCATTGGGTTATGAATTCAAGTTTTGACGCTTTCTGAGTTGCACTTCTGAGGCTTTCCGTCACTAAATCTCACAAACTTCGCTTGGTTTTGGTGACTTACTTTATAATTATAAGTTTGATTTGACACTATCAACTACCGAATTTTTCTTCGAGGAAATTAAATTATTTTTGTTTAGAGGATTGCTTTAATATTTTTTATTTAAATTAAATATTAAGATATTTTTATTTTTAAAAAGTTCGTGTATAAAATAATAATTGAATTAAAAATATTCGAATCTAAACCGAATAATAGATAAAAGAGGCAAAATAATAATTGAATTAAAAATATTCGAATCTAAATCGTATAATAGATAAATGGAGCACTAAAACTACTAGAGAGACAAATTCATTTAATACGGATTATAATTAATAAAAAAAATGAACAGTAACAATTTTATCTTAGAATAAGAGAAAAAAATATTTATTTTATAATAATATATTTAGAATAAAAAAATCATATTATTATATTACAATACAATTTTATATGTCATCGTTTTAAAAAAATTAACGATAAAAATAGCCTATTTAATAAAGTTAAAAAAATAAATAAAGATGAAACTAAAAATAATTTGTTAAAAAGATAAATAATTAAAGATCAAAAGAAAAACTTAAACACATTTCTAAATCAAATACATATTTAAACACTGTTTCATTTGCGACGTAGGATTTACATAAGTTATTTTGTTATTCATATTAACTATGAGTTAGATTTCATTCCTATATATTCACTATAAATCTTTACTGAGATTGATAGTTGTTGTTTTTTTTTCACTGATCACCATGATTTTAACTTTTTTTCTGTACAAAAATTATTTTATTTACTAAACTGTGACATTATAAAAAAAAAGTGTAAAACGTGATCTCTCACAAGAAAAAAAGTTTTAAAAGTTAAAATAGTATAATTTGAGTATTTCTTAAGAAAGATTATTTTACGCTCTTTTTTGGTCGCGTACATGAAGACTTTTTTCTCGAAGCCGCCATGGAAAATATCTAGCTTTTTTATCGCAAATCTTAATGAGTTTCGGTGTATATTAATGTGAGTTGTTTCTACAAAAAGTCAAAAAATAAAGTAACTTCTCAAATTTAAAATTAATTTATAAATAAGTTAATCTACAGAAATTTCTATGTCTTTATTTTTTTTTTCATTTTTCATTTTTGATTTATATTTTTTTTTTTGAGGTTTTTATAAGAAAAATTGTCCAACTATTATTATATAAAATATTTGACAGTCCTTTTCTTGAAAATTACTGTGTTGACCACGTTATTTTCACTCTACTCTATTAAAAAAAAAAAAAAAAAAACATTACATCTACATTCCATATACTTCGATTGGTGATTATAAATAACAAAGGTACGTGTAATTTCGTATTTCTCTTTATTATAATTTTGGTATTTTAATTTTAGAACAATTTCATCTTCAAAGATTTTTTTTTAAACAATATTAGAATTTTTTTCATGTCAAGTTAATAAATTTCGAAAAGAATAGCATAAGAAAGAATTTATTAATAAATAGTAAACATCTTTTTTAATCTAAAATTTTAAAATAATAAATTTAAAATATTTTCTTATTTATTCGCCTCATTCTTAGTAATTTAAAATTTAAACTCACACTAACATTTTAATATTTTTTTCTCTTCTTTTAATATTGATACATATACTATAAGAGAGTCATAATACCTAAAAATTTATATATAATTTTTATTTTATTATTTTTAAAAAAATATATTAACTTTGGTCCTTAACTTTCAATCCTACCTTGATCTCTGAGATAAGAGAAATATTGAAAATATATTTATTAATAAATTATAAATCATTCAGATAAGAAAATATAATACTATTTTTAATTTAATATCTTAAATTTTTAAATTAAAAATGATGTACTACTATTATATGACTTATAATTTATAGATAAATACCTTTTCATTTCTTTCGAATTATTAAATCAAATTTAATATCTTATAGGTCAAAGAAAACTTGTTATAAAATTAAATATTTGTTAATATAAATTAAAATTTAATAAAAATATTATATTTTTTCTTATTACTCGTTATTCATTTTATAATTCATTAATAATTCTTAGGATAAATAATACCCCGATTCTCCAACTAAATGAGGATGATTTTAAAAAGTGGATTTTTTTTTAAATGAAAATATTTCTTCGAATCTTTGAAACTCCAGGACGCTTACCATCAAATAGGTTTAAATTAGTCACCTTAAGTCTTTATTTGTTTCGATTTAAGTATTATAGTAGAGGATAAAAGAATACATGTGTGCGTGATCAGACGATTTGAAGGAAAACGTGAGGATAAATTTCAGAGATTGACATAAGAGGTTTTTTTTCGTTCTATTGAAGAGAAGAGAACAAAAAATCAACTTACATTATATTAAAATAAAGTTTTGATTCCATAATTTTTAATTGTGTCTTTCAATTTGTTGTATTTTTGTTTGTGATGAAAATTTTAGTTGTTTTCGATGTCTTAGAGATTTAGGTTTTAACCAAATTTTAAGGCTAACAAACAATTTTCAATCAAAAAATGTATGAAAATTAAAAATGTCACATTATCGAGTCGAATGAAAGATAAAACATGCACGTATATTAAAAAACACGGGAAGTGTGATAAAACATGCATATCAAAATTGAAAGTACTATTTTTAGTATTTTTTTATTAAGAAACTTGAAGTAAAGAAAGCAGTAAAAATGTATCGAGACGAAAAGCAAAGCAGAATATTAAATTGCAGAAAAATATAAATGTGGAACCTTAAAATTGCATTAAGTGTAAATGGTAATGAATTGAAATTGCATAAATGTAAATAATAAGAAATCAAAATTGCATAAGTGTAAATAGCAAGAAATCGAAATTGCAGAAGTGTAAATAGCGAGGAACTTAAACGCAGAATCTTAACTTGCATAAAGGTAAATGACAAGGAATTGAAAGAACAGAATCTTAAAGTTGATAAATGTAAGTGACTGATCGAACGTAAATTGCATGAAAGTAAATTACATGAAAATAAATTACCAGGGAAAGTAAAGAAAGTGATAAAGACAATCAATGAAAATGGAAATCCAGATCGCCAGAAACTTCATGATTCATCGTTTCTCCGGTAGACTTTTCACTTGTGTTTCTGCTGTCTCTGTCAATTTCCTGTTTTCCTTCAAACTTCGCTCTATTTATAGAATGTCTTTCAGGTAACCTCCTAAGAGCAGTTTAAAACTGCTACCACATTTCATGTGCACGTACGTTAACTATCCCTCGATTTTTATCTTAGCCACGATTTAGAAAATCGTTTCCCGCGTTCCATGTGTGTGATAACCGTTCCTTTGATCTTGACCTCAATCATCGAGTATTTAAAACTATTTCTGGCTTTCCATTTAACTTCATACCCAATACCTTTCATCGATTTTTACTTCCCCATGATCATCGAATTTCCTGTTTTCTTTCGATTCTCAATTTTCTTCAGCAATAATCATCGAATCCTCTTCTTTCGATTCTCGATTCTCATTCTTGATTTTCTTCAGCAATAACCATCGAATCTTCTTTTTTCGATTCTTGATTCCAATTCTCGATTTCAATTCTCGATCGATGTTTTCATACTAATACATGGTCATCGAATGTCTTCCAACCATCTTTTCGATTTATCAATTTTTCAACTAACATACGATCCTCGATTTCCCTCCATCCGCTTCTTGATCCATATATCGATTTTTTCCACCAACAATTTTACATGTGGGATAATGAATCAAAGGTCAAAATAATCGATTTTGGAATAACAAGAAATCAATTTTCGGACAAAATTGATTTTCATTTCATATAATTTTTTCTTTTTCTACTTCAAAGTGCAGAAGATAATAAAGAGTTGCGAGTTCTTTTCTACCAATTGGACCCTCCTTCACCATTTTCATGCGGATGGTTTATAGAGTTCATAACTATTCCTCTTATTATACAATGCTTACCTAGCCAACATTTAGATCTGACTTTACCTAACTTTTTCTGATTTACCCCAATATTTTCCACTTGTCCGACTGATGTGAAATAGTTTTTGGATATCAAATAGATCTCTCTAAAATGTTATTTTAATGTGGTCGATTTCTCCTCTTTTGTAATTAGTTTCATTAAAACACCCGCTATTCTAGCTAATTTGTCCACCTTTTTTAATGTGATTTCTATATTATGTATATTCTCTTCTCATATAATTACCAAAAACTGATTCTCCTCTTTTCAAAATTGATTATCTTTTTTTAATTGATTATTTTTTTGGAATTAATTATTCTCTTTCAGAAATCATTCTCCTCTTTTCAAAATGATTCTTTATGTTTTTACCCATGTTTGCGTTTTAGTTTTATTTATAATTTTAACTTTGTATTATGTTATAGGTGATGACGAAGATTATTTATGGTGGTTCTAATTAGCTATAGTTGACCATCACATTTTATTTTAATATAATTTACTACAATTATATTTTATTTTAAAATACTTTTTTAACACAATGGTAAAATTATAATAATTAAAATACTTTTTAATCTATCAAATCAATCATATTACTCAAAAACCTTTTTTTTATTATCTTTCTCTTAATCCAAACAATCTCACTTTTATCTCACTTTTCCGTCAAATTCACTCCTCCAAATTTATTTTCAAATCTAAACACAAGTTAAAACTTTGAAATATACTTTATAAAATAATGTAAATATATTTTAGTGTAAATATTTTACAGAGTAATTTAATCACAATTCAAAAACTAGATTTCTATTCACTTTTGAATAACTATATTATTATTTATATTAGTAATAATGTTTTTTCTATCGATTAATAATGCAATTATTTTTTATAATAGAAGAATATATAAATTAAACATTAATCTTCTTGATTAAGTAATAATTTGTTTATAGTAGAAAATCCGTTATTTTACAAATATTCTGACAAATCATAAGTGTTATGAGGAAGAAAGAGAATTATTACATTATTAATCTCATAATAATATATTTTTAAAAAAATTTAAATAAATTTTTTAAAATTTATTTACCTAATTAAATCGAAATAAAATTTAAAAATAATTTTTTTTGACATAATATAATTATTTTTCTCTTTTTTTATTTTGTTATTTTTCTATCTCTTTATTTACTTTTTGTTATTCTTTTTTTAGTTTCTTGTGTTTTTTTTTCTTTCGTTCTACTCTCATTTCATCTTATTTTTTTAATTAAAAATACAATATTAAAATTTGATAAAATGAGTTTTTTATTATTTCTAAAAAATAAAAATATTTAAATTATCCATAAATACTATAATTTAATATACTATATTTTAAAAAATTACATGATAAATTCAAGATATTATAAATATTATTTTTATATTATAATTAATAAAAAAATTTAAATATTTATTTTAAAATAAATTTTTAATAATTTTTTAAAAGATCTAATTTTATTAATCATCATAATTTAACCTAGTTATAACTATATTAAATTACTAAACAAAAATATATTTAACTTATAGATATTTGATATTTTTTAATTAGATGAGAAATAAATTTATTATGATAAAATAATTTTAAATTAATTATTTATGTTATCATAAATAAAATTATTTATTGTTATAATAAATAAAATTATTTATTATATCATAATTTTAAATAATTAATTGATATTTTTTAGTTTTAATGTTGATTTTAAAAAATTTATTTTAATATATTTTTATTAAATTTAAAATATAATAGTTTAATTAGAAAAACAAGTGAGAGAGGTGAAAGAAAAATGAGATATATAAGATAGAAAAAAATTTAGAAAAAGAAAAAAATAATATGAAAAATAATGAGATCTACTTAGATAAATAATTTTATAAAAATTTTATTTGAATAATTTAAAAAAAATATGTTATTTATATAATTGATTTCATTTATTATTTTATCACTAAATATTTAAAATAATTGTGTGGAAATAAATATTAAACACAAGTAATCTTACTAAATTCTAAGTGATTGGTAGTATTTATCATACGTACATACAAAATTAATATTTTCTGTCAATATTTTATTGTATTTAAAGTGAGTTACTCTGAATAAATCATGAGAATTTAGTATATTTAATTAAATTTTCTTTACTCATAGAAACGAAAATGGACCCCACATAACTTTAATTTAGACAACGAAGACAAAGGTTTCGGCAGGAAAGTGGTGGCCAACTTCTTTAGTCGTCATCAGGGAGACGTAGCGGAGTTGGAAACGTGTGGCTTGATTTCTGTGTCTCTTCCAGAAGCCAACCCTACCCAACCCAACCCAACCAACATCTCAAGCTATCAAACAATCCAAAAGAAAAAACTAACACCAATAAACCATCCCATTCTTCTAGATACCTGCATATAAAAATTTCACAAAACTAGGCCTGTCACTATCAGTATTTTGGTCATCTTCATTTGCTGTTAATATAATAACAATCATATTGCTCTTGGAGTTATTCAAGTCTCCAAAACCTCTCTCTCGATTCTTCATCCCTCCTAGCTCAGAGGGTTTTCGAGCAAAAGATTTGTGACATGGGTGTTGCTCTAATCAACAACAACAACAACAAGCCTCATGTGTTGGTGTTGTTAGTAGTCTTGATTGCTTCCTCAGTGGCAGAGAAAACTTCTGTTGTGGAAGGAAGGACACTTTCCTTAACATCCCATCAAGGTAAACAAAAGCTTCAGAGTTGGTGTCCCTCTCTTGAACCATGTGGTGTGGTTGCTAATTGTGTGTAATGAAATTGCAGGGTACTCTAAAAATTTAGCGACACTTGGACTTGTTTGCAAGTGTTGTGATGGGGTTGGAGGTGCCTGCGCAACCACATGGACACACTCTTGCTCTAACCTGCAATGTTCTCCTTGGAAATCTCACTGAATAATCTCCTCCATCTTTTCTAGTTTTTCTTTGCTTTTTGATTTAAGAAATATTTTATAGGGATTTATTAACTCTTCATTCTGATTTTGTCTTCTGTTTAGTGTAAATTTTGTGTATATATTTGTGCTTAAATTTGGGATGTATACATAGCCAATGAGGAAGTACTAATGCTTTGATAGCAACAAAATGGTAGAGTTGTGAGAATAAAAGGGTAATGGAGTAGTACGGTATACTGCTATATACAACCAAAGGAACTACACCAAAAACTTTCGAACAAATATTATTTCAATTTTGCAGAACGGAAAGAGAAAGTATTGCATGATTTCTTTTTGAAAACAATAATAAGTTAAATTGATTCATATTTTAAAAGAATATATATATATATATATATATATATATATATATATATATATTACGTTTATTTTTATGTATATAAAGGAAATATTAAATAAATTTATATTATTATAAAGGGATGGTAAATTTATATGACGGGACGGGTTGATGTTTTCAGTCCGTCAACCCGCTTTGTCTGTCCCGCAAGCTCGCTAACCCGTCGGACCAACCCGTGGGATGGGACGGACCAGCCCACTACTCGCTTAATTAATAAAAAATAATTTTTTATTATAATAAAGTTAATTATAAAGATAATATATAAAGTTAAAAATTTTGAAAAGAGAATTAAAAAGTTCCACTCTCACAAAAAATATTCTACTTATCGAAACATAATATTATCTTTCCCGTTCTCCTAAGCACTGATTATTTTCATCTTTATGACTTGAATTAAAGGTGTAAAAATTACTAAAATATGAATAATGTGAAGTTTTATCAAATAAAAAAGATATAGGTATTTAAAATTTTCAATATAAAAAATATAAATTTTATAAGTTTTAACGTTTTATATATATATATATATATATATATATATTTGTTATTATTTATTATTATGTCAATTTTATTATTGTTCTAAATTATAATTTTTTAAAATAATGTATTAATTTATATTATTAAATTGAAATAATATATATATATATTGAATTATTGACAAACAAATAATAATCTTATCATTAAATTTATTGAAATTTTTTATTTTAAAAAATAAATTATTTTTTATAAATTATGGCAGGTCGACCGCCAACCCACCCTAGCGAGGATGGACCAAGGTCTACAACTGTCATTATTATAACGGTCGCCCACCCCGCCCGCTTTGACGGCCAAAGGCGGGAGAGCTAAAATAGGTTGGGCTGGCCGGTTTTACCATCTCTAGTTATAAAACTGTGTATATATTTTATATAAAATGAACCTTTTAATTTAACGATAAGTTTAGAAAATAACATTATTTCATGAAATGAAATTGGATGATGAAATATGTAAATAATTATATACTTTTTTTTCTCATTCATTCTAGAAAACTATTCTAGAGGATATTTACATTCATGATTCTTATATAATAACATAAATTATAATAAGGAAACTAACATGATTTCAAGAGAGACATCCAATGAGAATGCATTTTTCAATGTCTTTATTCTTTAATCTCTTTTTCCTAATTTATTTCTTTGTGTTTTCTTTCTTTTGTCACACTTTTATGATGATTTACTATGAGAAGAACCTTATGGTCAGAAATATAACCCTAATCCCCTTTTATTAACTAACGTCTATCAAGTTGGTTACCAGTAAGTTTTTATTTTATTTTATCTTTATTTTATTATGACTTTCCATAATAACCTATAGGTCCTTATATTTTATTAAATTACATTTGGGTCTATCATTATATTTCACATAAGTCACATAATAGAATGAATGAATTAAATTAATTCTAACATTCTCCCACTTGACTCATGTGATGTCATACCATTTTGTAATTTAATATTTAAGTCAGAATGCGCATTAAATGACCTTACATAAACTGGTTCTATAATTATTCATAATTAAAGATACAACTATAACAAGAGTCATGACGATTACATGTCATTCAATCAACATGTTCCCTTCCATCTACTACTATATTATCTCTTTCTAGTTAATATAATTTTATAATGAAAAGTCCATAATGGGTTCAAACATAATATTATTTTCAATAATAATAACATAATTTGTTTTCTTCCTCATAATTTGCATGCATATAATAAAGAAGAAACACAAATTTCAGAAACTTATACATTAAATATCTCAGAGTGTCATATAAGCATTAATGATAACATTAACATTCAACATTCATTAGTAAACATAATGACCATATTCACTATATGACAAACAAACAACTTGGATGGTAATCCTTTTGTTAAATGATCAACAATAATAAGATCAGTGTTAATATATTATATTGACACTCTTCATTTCTTAATTTATTCTTTAACGGCAAAGTATTTCAATTCGATATGCTTAACACCTTTGGAATACTTGTCGTTCTTAGAAAAGAAGACTGTTGCAGAATTATCACAATAAATTTTCAGCAACTTGACAATGTTGTCGACTACTCCAGGTCCTAAAATAAAATTTGTACCCCATTAGCCTCAACTGTGGCCTCAAATCATGCCACAAATTCAACTTCCATGGTGTGCAACAATGACAAATTGTTTTACACATTTCCATGAAATCACCCCCCGGCTAAAAGATACACATAACCAAATGTAGACTTTCATGTAGACTTTCTTTGCAGTTTTTCAATGATCCAGTTTAGGATTACTCTGGTATCTACCTAGCATACTAGCTGCAAAACTAATATCTAGTCTCTTACATGTTTAACCGTACATCAAACTCCCAACAACAGATGCATAAGAGATATTTTCTATTTGTTCCCGTTCCAAGTCATTCTTTATACATTACATGAGACGTTTCCTTGCTGTATTGGAATGAAAGATGTTGAACATTTATCCATTCTGAATCTCTCTAAAACTTTATTAATATATGCTTTCTGAGACAAACCTAACAATCATTGTGATCTATCACAAAATATTTCTATTCCTATCACATAGTATGTCTCACCCATCTCTTTCATTTCAAAGTTGTTAGAGATAAATTTCTTAGTCTCACTTAATAGACCAAGATCATTAGTCACAAGCAAGATATCATTAAGATACAGAATCAGAAATATAAACTTGTTTCCACTAATCTTCAGATATATACATTGATCAACAATATTTTCCTTAAATACAAAGAACAGAATAGTATCATTGAACTTAAGATACCATTGTCAAGAAACTTGTTTAAGTCCATATATTGATTTCTTAAGTTTATACACCATGTGTTTCCTTCCTTCTTCAATGAACCCCATCGGTTGATTCATAAAAACATCCTCCTCTAAATCACTATTCAGAAAGACAGTTTTAACATCCATTTGATGTAACTCAAGATCATAATGAGTTACTAATGTCATGATAATTCTAAAAGAATATTTTTTAGAAACAAGTGAAAATGTTTCCTTATAATCAATGTCATCTTTCTGAATAAAACCTTTGACAACAAATCGGACCTTTTAATGTTCAATATTGCCGTGAGAGTCACGCTTAGTCTTAAATACCCATTTATACTTAACATTCTTGCATCCTTCTAGCAATTCCACAAAATCTCATATATCATTATGTGTCATTGATTTAAGCTCATCTTTCATAGCATCTAACCATTTGTCATAATTATCACCATTAATAGCTTATGAAAATGAAAATGGGTCATTATTAATACTTAAGTTATTTTCTAACTCTTATAGATAAACCACATAATAATTCGAAATAGGATACTTTCTTTCTCTGTGATATCTTCTTAATATTATTTATTGTGGTTGTTCTATTATTAGCTCATTGTTAATCTCTGGACCATTAATTTGTTATTCTTCTTGACTGTCGTGTGGTTCTACAACATGTGGAACAACAACTCTTGAAGAAGATGTACTAGTTACAGAAACTTGTACTCTAACTTCCTTAATCTCCACATTTTGTGAAGCTTCACTCCCACTAGTTTCACCATTGCCAATGAACTGAACATTTCCAGTTTCAACAATTCTTGTACTATGGGTAGGACAGTAAAACATATACCCTTTTGATTTTTCTGGATAACCAATGAAATATCCACTAATTGTTCTTGCATCTAGTTTCTTTTCATGTGGATTGTAAATTCTTACTTCTGCCTGACAACCCCAACATGCAGGTGTCTCAAACTAGGTTTCTTACTTTTCTATAACTCAAAATGAGTCTTTGAATAACTTTACTAGGAACCTTATTCAACAAATACATGAGAGTCTTCAAAGCATACATCCATAACGATACAAGTAAATTTGAATTACTTAACATGTTCCTAACCATATCCATTAAGGTTTGATTACGCCTTTCTGACACACCATTTTATTGCGGTGTGCCTGACATTGTATATTGAGTATAAATATCACTTTTCTCAAGGAACTTAGCAAATGGACCAAGGTGTTGTCCACTTTCATCATATCTTCCATAATACTCACCACCTCTATTTGACCTGACAATTTTCACATTTCTGTCTAATTGTCTCTCCACTTCATTTATATAAACTTCTAAGACATTCACTGTTTGAGATTTCTCATGTAGTAAATAGACATATTCACAACGCGAGAAATCGTCAATGAGGATAATAAAATACTTCTCTTTATTAAAAGATTTTACATCAAATGGACCAGTCAAGAAGCTGAGTGCTTCTTGTGGCTCCTTTCTTTGTATGTTTTGTTTGTTTGCCTTTAATGCAATCCACACATATATTCATATCAATAAAATCTAAATCCGAAAGAATTTCATTCTTTGCTAATCGTTGCATTCTTTCTTTAGAAATATGTCCCAAATGTTTATGCCACTAGTATGTAGACTGTTCATCCACCAAACTACATTTAGTGCTAACATTGTGATATAAGGTCATGAGAGTTTCAACATATAAATTATTCAAATTCAATTAATATAAATCATCATAAAGTATATCAAATCTAATTATACAAGTATGCTTAAACAAATTGAAACAAACATTCTCAAACTTAAAAGAGTATC